ATCTTTCACATTTTAGCAGCAAATTTGTAATAAATGTAACATTTTGAAAAATTCAAAAAATGAAATAATTTAGACATCTAGAAAACCAATTCATTTACAAAAGTACATTTGAATTTGTTCTAAAAAAAGGCCGGTACAAGCAGTCACTTTTATCTCCAACGATATACAATGAGCAAATATTTTTCGAAGGACAGAAATCATTCTGGTTCGACATTGTCTACCTAAATTTTTACACACTGGGTTGGGTGAAGAGATGTGTAACTTTAGAATTCGAATGGCAGTGAGTTTGAAATGAGGCACATTTTTGCTGAAAATACACTAAACAAAACGCCCAAGAAACTGAAAATTTTTCCTAAACTGATGAATTAACGAAGGTGCAGATTTCTGGGTTAGAAGCGTGTCAGGGGAATTTTTATCAGGGGATTCCCGAGAACTTGCGGCCCGTGCAGCCCTCTTTCTTTCTTTCTTTTACGTTGGCGGGTACAACAAATTATTAAACGACGATTAACGCAATGCAGACAGGTGGGAGACCGATATTCGATCCACTATTGAATGATTTTTCTGCTTTCTTCTGCCAATTCGTACAAAAAAATTGTTAACACAACCATTTAAACCTTGGGTATAAAGCTTAGAAAAGGAATCATAGACTCCCGTAGTGTGTGTACCAGGTTACGGTTAGGCCATAATTTTATTCCGATATTCCTTATTTTAGTTTATTACGAAATTCGGGGACTAAGTGAATATCCCATTTCAATAGGTTTCAGTCCCTTTACAAAACTTGATGTAAATTAGGCAAACAAAATTAGTTACCTCTATATTGGTACACATACTTCTGGAGCGCCCAAAAATGAATGTAACATTCATAGTTCATCACCAAGATGAATTTTATTGCACAGGTCGATAGTGCAAAATAATCTCATAAAAATCTTTGATATATGGAACTAAACATTTTTCAATAAAAATCAGTCTATACCCCGGATTCAAAATCATTCAAATTTGTCCTTGAGGAATGACAATCAGTCCAACCCGGCCTATGTAACAAGCTATAAGATGGCTCAATTATCATATCCATATCCATGTCATATAAAAGACTTCTTTAATCTTCTGTTGTGAGTGCCTAATTAATATTTGCTTATTTTGCCCCAAAGAATTCTAAATGTTGTCTCGGAATTCTGACTCACGAAATTTAAAAATGCGATCCAATCCAAAATATAATATGCACTCCACAGCAATACACAAAATTCATTCTATTTTCTATTCATTATCCGTGGTGAAGATAATTTCTACAGATAACTGAGATGTGAAACGTGATGCCATAAGCTTATGTTAAATGAGCATATTATTACAAGTGCAGTTTCACGTATTTTGTGGGGTCTGAAGATGCCGCAAAACCATGGCGGGATTTCCAAACCATGGTCGCTGGCGACTGACTTTTTAGCTGCCACAAACCAATGGCTAGCTGCCGTTACCACGGCAGCAAATTCAAAATCGAACACAGGTAAAATTTTGCTGCCGTAACCACGGCATGTCGGCCGTAATGGCAGGGCTGCCCTGATGGTGATGATATTGGGTAAGTTGGAACATTTTTCTTATAGATACAGTTTTGATGGATTTGGGGTTAGGTTTCAGGAAAAAGTAGATATAATTCCGCATGATAAACTAAAATCTGGTACATGACTTTGTGAATATACCGCTAATAGCGCCATAACCATGACAAGAGGTGCCATCGGTTCGTTCGTGGCAGGAGCTGCTATTAAGTGGTAAGAGCTGGGCATAGCAAAATTAGTTTGAGCCTAGTGGCTAAAAGTATCAGATTCGAGCCCGAAAATCATCTCCAGAAATGAACGCCTACCCCTCAAACGCCAAGAGATACTAAAACTATGCATATTTATGACACTCATCTCTGAGCAAAGTTATGAGCAATCTAGAAAATGTCAAGAGATGCTTAAACTGTACAGAATGATTGATTATCAATAATAGCACAGGTCCTTAAATTGAATAATTTGCTCCCTTATTTTTGAATCCCAGGATAATAATAGTTTATAGCTTTTGACATTTATGTAATCACCCATTACTTTGCTCAGAGATGACTCCTTCGCTTACGAGTAAGTGTGCGTGATTATTTTAGCGTCTTCATCCACCCTGAAAATGCTATCCCTATTTTTTTTACACGTATTATGTAAGTTGCATATTTCCAGTATTGGTGGAAAAATAAATTACTGATCCTGAGATGAGTGACTTTTATCGCGATCTAAGTGCGTCATACCTCGCTTATTTCATAAAAAAGAAACGTTTTAGAAGCAAAAAACTCAATTTTTTATGATACCACATTTAGCTTTAGACAATTTCAATGATTTTTGAGACAAAAGATGAGCATTCCATGATAATGTGATGAATGAAACAACTGGGAGAGATTGTTTCAATACATTAAGAAAAAAGAGCAATGTCAATACCTATACTCTAAATTAGTGGTTTTCAAGCGATGGGGCTTCACCCACAAAGGGGGCGCAGACAATGAAATAAGAGCATTTGGAATGGAAATTGCAAAACAGAAAATATTCAAGCGAGAGGAAAGGCTAGTCAACAGCAAACACTGACTTATCATTTGACTTTTGTTTTGAAATCTTTGCTGCAATTCTTTTTGTTTTGTTCTAACGGCTAACAGTTCTATTCTGCGTTCGAATTTCAAGGACGATATTTTTAATAAGTGCAACTTCCTAGGAAGAAATTTTGCTAGTGCCCTTAGTAGTAAAATACTCTCTAGTGCCACCTAAGATTCTACGAAATGTAAAAGTGTAAAGTAATGACTTCCCGGGATTTTTTTTGTTAGTAATGAAGTGTTGTGGGTTAGGGGGAATTCCCCAGAAATGCATCCCTTGTCTCAAAAAACATTAAAACAATCAAAAAAAGCATAAAATGATAACATTGAAATATACCTTCAAAGTTACAATGTTTTTTTCAATGCATAATTTGTGGGGGGAGAGGGGGCGAAAAAAAATTAGTCAAATTTTTAGGACTTACAAAATGTAAAGAATTTTGAAATTCGTGAAATTTAGAGATGATTTTTTCAATATTGATTTTTTTCTTAAAAAAATTATTCCCCCCCCCCAATTTTGAAAAATATTAACATCTAACAGATTTTGTGCAATTTAGATTCTCAAAATAGGAAATGAAATTTCAGAGTAACAAGATATTTGGGTCCGACACTCAGTGACATAGGGAGAGGTGGTTAAATTTTATTTTCTAGAAATATTCAAAAACATTGTAAATTTGTTACATTGCTAAAAAAATGAGTTTATTGCTATTTTAAGCATTTTCAGCAAAAATGTCCATATAATTCCATCACAATTTATAAAAACATTTTTAGTTTTCAGCAGAGCGATCAGAGAATTCCCCCCAGAAAATACTGAAGATTTTCTGCTTTTTGGTTAATTTTACATAATCGAAAATGATTAAATGATTAATATTATGTTTCAAAATTGTTAATCACTTGAATTCAGATAAAAATTCAATTTATAGAAGAGTCTTGAAAGCATTTTTACATCTTTTATATTTTAGCAGCAAATTTGTAATAAATGTAACATTTTGAAAAATTCGAAAAATGAAATAATTTAGACATCTAGAAAACCAATTCATTTACAAAAGTACATTTAAATTTGTTCTGAAAAAGGTCTGGTACAAGCAGTCATTTTTATATCCAACGATATGTAATGAGCAAATAATTTTCGAAGGACAGAAATCATTCTGGTTCGACATTGTCTACCTAAATTTTTACACCCTGGGTTGGGTGAAGGGATTTAAGATGTGTAACTTTAGAATTCGAATGGCAGTGAGTTTGAAATGAGGCAATTTTTGCTGAAAATACACCAAACAAAACGCCTAAAAACTGAAAAAAATTTTCCTAAACTGATGAATTAACGAAAAGTGCTGATTCTGGGTTCGTAGCGTGTCCAGGGGAATTTTTATCAGGGGATTCCCGAGAACTTGTGGCCCGTGCAGCTCTCTTATTCTTTTTTCTTTTACAATGCCGGGTACAACAAATAATTAAAACGACGATTACCGCAATGCAGACGATGGAGACCATTATTCCGATCCTTATTTGAAGGATTTTCCCAATTTCTTCTGCAATTCGTACAAAAATTATTGAAATGAATTTTAAACTTGAGATGTAAAATGTACTGCCATAAGCTTATGTTAAATTACCTCATTCTTACAAGTGTTTCAAGTATTTTGTGGCGTCTGAAGCTGCCGCAAAACCATGGCGGGATTTCCAAACCATGGCCGCTATGGCCAAACCCATGGCGACTGACTTTTTAGCTGCCACAAACTGGCGAGCTGCCGTTACCGCGGCAGCAAATTGGAAACCAGAGGCGGGTAAAATTTTGCTGCCGTAACCAAGGCATATCGGCTGTAATGGCAGGGCTGCCCTGATGGTAATTATATTGAGTAAGTTGGAACATTTTTCTTATAGATACAGTTTTGATGGATTTGAGATTAGGTTTCAGGTTTAAGTAGATATAATTCCGCATGATAAACTAAAATCTGGTACATGACTTGTGAAATATACCCGGTAATAGCACCATAATAACAGCAAGAGCTGCCATCGGTTCGTCCATGGAAGGAGCTGCTATGAAGTGTTAGGAACAACGCCCTCTATTATTAGCCGTCTAAATGGAGCCTTTATAATATGTTAGAAATCTATTTCTGTTAGCATTTGGTAGATGAGTATACATAACATTAATAGTTTTGAAAGCTGGCATCAGTAGAACTACAGTTTTAAAAAAAAATGAGGATATGTGAGAATAAAACTTTGCCAGAATGAATGAAGCCATTTTACAAGAGGTATATTCTGTCTTTTCACACATGAGCGATTCGCGAAACCGTTTCACAAAAATACCGCGTGCGAATAAAAACTTGCCTTTTTTTACTTAAATTAAGTTACTATATACAAAATTCTCACGCCATGCAAAAAAAATCCTACACAGAAAAAAAGATCTTACTTGATTTGCAAACTGGTGTTGTAGTCCAAGAACCATCAGCTTTGCATGTTCCTGTCGACCCCCCTTCCAAATTGTAACCACCGTTGCAAGAGTAAGTGACCGCCTCATCCTTGATATACAAGTCCTTATTAGGTTCAATTGTTCCGTGATCGAGATTTTGTTTAGCACATGGCGTATCTGAAAAAAGCAAAGATAAAAAAATTTAAATTTAGCATAGGGAACACTTCTTTTTGCGGTTGTTTCTGGTTTGACAAATTTTTCACACATTTTACTGAAGAGATTTTTTGAGGCATTTCCACTCCAAATAAATTTTAGTATGAGCGGCCACTGATACATGAAATTTTACAAATATGAGGGAGCCAGGGACTTACCCAGGGGGTGGTTTTGTGGGTCGGAAACCCCCTCTTTTGAGATGTAAAATGAAAAGCAATTTTCTGTATCACACATAGCAATTAGCAAGCTTAGAACGTGTTCTAGACCAGGGGTGCACAACTCAACTGAGGACACGTGCCAGTTTTTTCAAAATTATCTTGTCGCGTGCCACGCACAATCGTTGGTATGGATCTTTCCCCGACCTCTTACACCGTAAAATCCTTCCCATACTTAACCATTGCAAAATTTTCGGTGCTTATTTTAGGAGTGGTTACGCGAGTTGGTGCCTGTAAAATGAGATATTTGTTTCAAGCAATCATTCTGATTCATAGCATTTAACAATCTGTTTTTCAAAAGTACCGGTAAAAATATTTAGCCCGGTCTATCACACACTAATTTTTGCTCGAGCTCAATGCCTTCATACCCAGACCATGTCGATGGTAGTTTTATGGATCATTTTCTCTTCAATAGAGATTACCATTTTATATACCACAGAATGAGGTAGACATCCTTACATCGCATCCGCTATGTGTGGGATGGTATTATCGAAATTTGTGAAGTTTTATGCCATTAACCGGGCGCTTAATATGAGATTCTCAAAGGCCGAATTGAAAGACCGAACGAAACAGTGTCTGAGCGTCACTTTTTGCATCTTGCCGATTGGCCAATGTCACGAAGTCGATGCTCGGGGAAACAAACAACCTTTGTAAATGAAGTCCCGTAAAACACTCATCAAACAAATTTCAATAATATTAGATAATATCGAATATCTATTTATTGAAACAATTTAATGTCCTGAAAAACAGCTGGTTTTGGTATAAACGTGATATTCTAATATATATCATAAATAATTTTTTTTCACAAAACCGTTCGCGTGCCACGTTTGAGCGTATGGCGTGCCAAATTTGGCACGCGTGCCTCGTGTAGTGCACCCCTGTTCTAGACTATTAGCTCCAGTCTGACCCGATAGCTTATAGGGTCTAACTTGGCAATTAGAAATTTCAGAATTCCCCCTTTAGAAAGTCTTGGTTACGCCTCTGTAGGAAGCTACACCTCCTCTGCAAAAAAGGCTTTGTAAAAGAAGTCATTATTAAGTTAAGAATTTAAAAATTCATCCCGAACAAGTTTCTGTACAGCCAGCCATGAATATAGGAAGCAACAGAGCTGTTTTCTTGGATAGGCCGAGAAAGTGGGCCAAAACGGGCCTAGTTACCTTTCAATCATGCTGTCAATCAAGACACACTCGAGTGATTTCGGTGTTTAGAGGCTCATTTGTGCTCGGTTTTCTGGGGCGGGAAAACATTTGCCTTGAGTATTAAAAGTTTGGTACTCATGTAGTATGTAAACCAAGATGGCGGACACCAGGACATAGTATGTGTACCAGGTTAGGGTTAGGGCCATAATTTCAGGTACAAATACTACGAGAGTCACTTGGCTAGTCCCTGGACTCGTAATAGAAGTAAAATAAGGTGTCCGCTATCTTGGTTCACATACTACGGGAGCGCCCAAGCTTCCGCTGAAATCATTCAGGCCCAGCATCGCCTACTCAATTTAATACACCCTGGATGAGGAGGTAGGCATATCATTCAGAGGTGTAGCCAGGAATTAAAAAATAAATGTTTCTGACATTTTCAGTTGCTAAGTTAAACCGAACAGCTAACGGGTCCCGGCAAGAAAACATGGGTTTTCAAGTGCCTTGAATGGCTAATAATTGTTTAAACCCCAAAAAAACTACTATTTATGATACAGAAAAATGCCTTTTTAACATTTCAAAAATGGGTCCCAACGCTCAAACCCTCTTAGTTATGCCCTTGGTACCGGGAATGGGCCTGCAACATAGGCATGAGATTTGAACGTGAAATCTCCAACTTATGACACCGACAGTCCAAGATTAACACTTCAACTATTAGGCCAATGATTAAATAAAACCTAATGCTTACCTAGACCATCACAGTCCGAAGAGGACAAAGTCTTGATGTTGTCCAATTCCACATCCCCCGATGCCACAAGTTCAAGTTGTACCTAGAGTTACAGAAAAAAGTTATAGACCTAAATACCCAAAAAGAAAAAGTCAAGAGACTTCCGTAAGCGAAGTTTCAATGGTGACAGAGATAAATCTGGAACGGAAGTTTAAAATGTTTTTTGATAGTGGATATATATAATATGGCTCAAAGTCCATGGAGGTGGGAGCAGTGGCTTATATGCAGTGGTGGGATTCAAACAGCGAAACAGCTGAATCCCAACACTGCTTATATGCCTAAAATGACGCAATGGCGAAGTTTTAAAACTCAACCCTTGATCGTTGACTGACAATTTTTAATGACTGTTGTTGAATTGAGATACTTGTACATTATTATCTAAGTAAAAATATGAGTTACAGTTCTTTCCAATTTGAAATTATTTTATCGAAACATTCTACGAATAAAACTTTTCGCCGTTTACGCACCCCTGTCCAAACAGCGCTCATGGCATGACCCAAGGCTATCACACCCTAGATAAGCCACTGGTTGGGATTTAGAATTTAAGATTTAAAGGATTAAAAAATTCTGACAAGAAATAAAAAAGCTTTAGGTTGAATTATCTGAGCATTCTCAGCAGACAAATATTCTTCATTCGGTTCCAAACCTTTTTGATAAATTTCTCTCTTTGGCTACGGAGTGGAAATTTCAAATTGTTCGGAAGTATGAGTTAGTCTAAGACTTCTAATGGTGAGAACACTGTCTAATACAATTTTCGTTCCTGGCTTCTAATTATTATTTTTTTGAATGATTACTCCACGAAATTGAAAAAAAATTGCATTCATTTTTCAAATTTTAGTTTTGTGAAAATGGGAGGGGAGATTTCCCAAAACCCTTTTTTTTTTCCGAGAAATTGTAATATAAAACAGCATAAAACTTTCATTATAACATAGTACCATGCTACGCAGTGTTCACTCTAAGGGCATTCTGCACCATACTATGTTAAAATGAAAGTTTTCCCAAAAAAGTGCGCTAATAGTGAACACTGGTGCTAGGTAAACTTTTGTTATGTAGATTGAGATCCTGATTGGGACGAAACAGGAGATTCAAAAAATAATTTTCTGTAAAGTATATTCTTACAAACCTCAGTATCAGCAGACTTTACTTTCTTCAACTTAAATTTCTCAGTTTTCCAACTGGTTGAAGCAACTACCTGGCCAGGAAATGGCCAGATAGCTTTTCTGAAAAATATAAAATGTATTAGGATCTTATTAAAGGGTCAATAACGGTGCCGGTACATAATTAAAAGGTACTCCCGAAGTATGTGAAACAAGATGGACGTAGTATGTGTACCAGGTTAGGGTTAAGCCGAAATGTTAATCCCAATTCTCCTTATTTCAGTTCTTATACAAGTTCGGGGACTAGCCAAGTGACTCCCGTAGTATTTGTACCTGAAATTATGGCCCAACTCTAACCTGGTACACATATTATGTTCCGGTATCCAACATCTTGGTTCACATACTTCAGGAGTACCAATTAGTATACCGGTATAATTGAATTGTTATACACATGCTTAAACTGTGATAATGAGGTAACAATTGGCGGTTTTCAGAACGCAAAAAAAAAAAAGCCCAAGTTATTTTTGAACTGTTAATTTTTTTTGTACACTATAGCCTATGACTTAAGTTTGCCGGCCATATTAAATTGTTACGCGAGTCGTTATTGTTCCTGGCCCGCGGTTTAGAAATTATTGATTTAGAATATTCAAAATCCAAAATGATTGTAGTCGTAGATCAGAATTGGAGAAAATAAGTATTTGGACTTGCATGCATATTTGGATATTAAAATTCTCAGCCTGACAGTCGAACAAATGTAAGGATAAGATTGCACAGAACCTTGTTCAGAGGAACCAAACACAATGGGCAATAGATATTTAGAAAAATAAACACATTCCCACTTCGTCAATGAACCTTGAATTTTGTTGGATATGTTCTTAACAGACAATTGAATTGATCCTAACCAAGGATGTCACAGATGACTGAACACAACCAATTAGCTGTTGAATATAAAATTTATTCAAAACTGAAGCGTGTTTTAGATCAAAAACATATAACTGGTTAACCAAACTCCATAGGGTGATTCACGTAACCGCTGGTCAGTCCATACATCTGAAAACAAATAACTGGCTAACTAATCCCATACCCGACGTAGACTGGTAACCAGATGAGAAGCCGTGGTTCGCCATATGGTTAAGCCGTCTTATCAGCTTTCTTCTCCCCCTTGATAAATATGAAAACCTTATCCTATCTGCTCACGTTTCTGCTTCTACTCCATTATATGCGTAAGCTACCAGTTCGTCTTTTGATATCCCTTTTATGTCGACACTCATGCATTGTTCATCATTCCCAGCCAAAGGCAAGGCCCCGGATCTGATTTTACCATTACCAACAAGTGCATAACCTGAAATGTATCAGAAATAAAAGAATTGGAGTTTTGCTATCTAAGAAGATTTGCTCTGGAGAAAGTTACGCGGACTCACTCAGAAGCAGGGAAAGCGATAACTGAATACTGAACTATTCCGAATACATTCTAAAAAAATACCCAAACTGGTATTCCAGATTGATTCAAGAGTCTTGCTGCACTAACACAAATATATTTCTGTAACGTCACGTCTTACCAAGATCAGACTTCTTCAGACATACATAGTTCAACGGACCGTATATTTTAGAATCCCACATAATATAAATTTTATTCTATTCATCAAAATCTAAGGATATTAGAATAAAGCTTTAATGATATTATCATAATAAATCAGACATAACTAAAACAAATGGCGAGAGTGATATGATTGAAATTTAAAGTTTTCTAGCTCCTGCTCAAAAATAGTGAGTTAATAAACATTCAGTAGTAGTAAACAGAATTTACACTTGGTTATAAATTGATAGCAATAATGAGATTCATCTCAGTGGCAACTCGTAATTTCGCTCAAAGAAGAGCCTCAATCATTTCTGAGTGAAAGCACATAATTCACCTTGATATGTCTACACAGCTTCAGTAGAACACGAGTAATTTTGCTCAGAGATCAGTTTTCTTTATTTCAGAGTGAGCATAATCCAGCATAATGCTATAAAATTAGTTACCATAGTTACGTTATAATTTAAGTAGCTCTTTGCATTCAAGTTGTCGCCTGCAACCTTGCTCAAAGATGAGTCTCTATTATTTACGAGTAAGTACATGTTAGCTTGCTTTGAGAAACTTTCATCAAAAAAAAAAAAATCAAGTCATTTATTAATATAAAACTATACCTGGGAAGCCCGTACCGTCCGCATCTCTGTATGTTCTAGTAAACGTTCCACTCACAACCGTGTAGCCACATGTAGAAGTGGCTAATTCCTCAAAACCACATTCAATAGCGACTGAAAAAGGGGAGAAATTTTAGGTCATTCTTCGGAGGTCCAGCATACATGAAGCTCAAAATGAACACTCTAGAACAGGATTTCTCAAACTTTTCGGGCCGCAGACCACTGTGTGTGAATCTAATATTAACGAACCCCCATCTCAAGTCGTATCAATTTTTGTGCCAACAAGGAAAAATAATGTTTCCATAGACGAAATAAAACTCATGAACGTCTGAGCCATTACAAACCTACTTTGAATACTGGCAGGTCAACGGCATATTAATAAGATCATGATTTATTTGTTTATGTTTCAGACTCTTTTCTGTGCTCCCGAAGTATGCGAACCAAGATGGCAGACATCGGAACGTAACATGGGTAACAGGTTAGGGTTAGGCGATAATTTCTTTCCAATTTTCCTTATTTTAGTCCTATTATCAGTTCGAAGACTAGCCAAGAGTCTCCCGTAGTATTTATACCTAAAATTATGGCCTAACCCTAACCTAGTACACAAATTACATCCCGATGTCCGCCATCTTGGTTCGCATACTTCGGGAGCCCCCTCTTTTCCTATCGTCGTGGACTCCCAGGGGTCCGAAGACCCCAGTTTGGGAGACCCTTTTCTAGAACAGTGGTTCTCAAACAGCAGGGCATGCTCCACAAGGGGCATAGACAATATTTGGAGGGGACATGAAACTTGATAAAAATAAAATTATTTGTTAGTTTTGATCTTGCTCATAACTTTATTTTGGATATTTACGTTTCCTCCACATCCTTTTTAAATTTAATATGAGTCTGAATTAGTCGTAAATTTTTCTGGGTACGCAAATTTATTCAGATAGGGGGGAAAGGGGGGCAGTTTGATGTAACGATTGGTTGTAAACGATACCTCGTTTTCGCGATTTTGAATGCTATTCATCAGTTTTTTGTTGTGTTTCGGAAATTCAAGTATGAATCATCATTTCGCCTTCTTAGAAGTTGTAGTTTAATTCCAATAATCAAAAATTAGTCTAGATATAGCTGTGATAAAAAAGGCCAAATTTCTCTATCGGTACGCAATGTTTTCTGCGAAGGATGCACTCGTACACTCCAAACTATGAAGGGTCTCAACAGCTCAATAAACCAGTTTTGGTTCCCCGCGACTTCCCTTCCCCAGTAATTTAAATATAATTTTTTCTTTATATTTTTGCATGTTTTTTTTTGTTTAGTTACTGGTTGGAAAAAATAAACTTGACTTGACTCTCAATAAAGGACATAGATTACCGTCATCATTTATTTTGTAACTTGCAGGAAAGAACAACATAAAACAATGAAAAAAAAATGATACAGTTTGATAAGATCATGGCAGTTTGAAAAACACTTACCTAAACATGTTGGTACAGCCCCCCAGCTTCCATTTTCGTCGCAAGTTCCGGTGTTAGAGCCTTGCATTTTATAACCTGTGTCGCATTTATAAGTCACAATCTGATTATACTCCAAGTCAGGTGCGGTCGATGTGTCCACAGTCCCGTGTTCAGGAGCTTTGGGTGCTGGACAAGTACGTACTGTAACAGAAAGTAAAAAAGTCGTCAAAGCGTTAGTGGGTAAATTACATGGCTGACCACTTTCAAATACTCGATGAATTCAGAATTGAATTAAATCTCAAATACTCTCCCGTTGTCCGGAGCTTTTAGATGCTGGACAAGTGAGTACTGTAATAAAAAATAAAATAAGTCATAGGAGCGTTTTTCAATTGGGTAGGAATACAGACTATATTATTCAGTGTTGTTTCATGGGTTCCACAAGGTTCCATTCAAATCCCAAAGTCTATATCAGGGCTACTCAACTGGCAAATCGCGATCCGAATCCGGACTTTTCGAGTATTTGATATGGACTGCATCTAATTCTTTTTTTGAATCATTAGCACTTTTTGAAGTTTTCTTTTATAAAATGACATTTATAGTTTTGAATATATATGAAAAGAACTATAACACCATAATAAACAATCTTGATTAGCTAATAATCATTAGCTGGCAGAGGACGTGCGCGTTTAAGGATGCCGAAATATAATTTCTGGAAAGACCGGACCCAAATAATTTTGAAGTTTTCTATGCGGATCTTCGATAAAAATAGTTGAGTAGCCCTGGTATAATATTTGAATTGTTTTAATATAATCAAATATGTATGTAATCTACGCTTCTGCAACCGGGGTGAGATCATGGGCAGCAAATTCGAACCAGAGTTTTTCTGCTTTTAATACCAACATACTTAAGTCTAATGCTTTTAACTACCATGCGCACTTACACTAGTAAACACTTAGGGGACGATATTTATTGAGTCAACATTTCGTGGAATTGAGTATTGACTTTGTATAACGAGGAAGAAGTGGTGCAATCTTAGTTCTAACAAACATTATCAGTGATTATGGCGCGCCTCACAAGGGGGTGTAGATAATTTTTTGAGGGAGCGCGAAGCTAATTAGAAAATAGAAATATTTGTTGGATTTGATCTTGCCTGCCTTTTTTTGGATATTTACATTTCTTTAGATAAGATATAGCCATTGCTGTGTTCTGTGTTATGTCATAAAAAGTCAAATGGGTCGCCATAAGCTGTGGTAATAAATAGTCCCAACTCTAAAAAGTTTGGGAACCACTGGTCTAGATCAATCCGAAGGTAGAGTTATGGAACTATTCAGTAATAAGCCTCTCTAGACATTACTAGAAATTAAAAATGATTTCTCAGATAAAATTGTTATCAAAGTCTGAATTCAAACAATAACTTTAATAAAACAACGGTTATTATTCAGAAATATTCTAGAACTATTCTTTCATGACCGTCTCTAGATATTATTGGAAATTTAGAATGTTTTCTCGGACAAAACTTGTTATGACAGTCTGAATTTGTTTAATGACTTTAGAAGCAACAGCCCTTATAAATCATAATATTGACGTTGATAGTGATGTTTGTCATTTCGTTGCGTAAAGTATCCTGAGTACATAGAAACGAGTTTCGTTGCCAAGACAAGGAAATTTATGACCTAGTTGACAGATATGTATTTGGAATTATATTCTGAGAAATTTGATATATTATGAAAATAGCTTGGATTATTACTTTAACGAATTGTTGTGGTTTTTCAAATAATAGATAAAGTTGTAACAGCTTTTATAAGACGACATTACAACACAAATACAGCTGCTTTCTGGTGAGACTCGTGAATAGCTAGCAAAATATCAGCCAATTTTCAGATGCAACTAAAAAGTAACAATTCTATGTTATTCTCGAAATCAAAGATTTGAAAAAAAATGTATTTATTAATCCTGGTTTCCCCAAATATTTGATTCATTTTGGACATCACTGTTCATTAAAGTCTTGTTACAATTTTCACTTATTTGTTATGAAGTCAGTTCTCAATATATCTTAACCAGGTTTGTTTTATTTTTCCCAACAAGCTTCCTTCATTCAATACAGCTGTAAGGGCGAACAAAAAATATACAATATCGATAATTCTCTTTCAATTTGAAAAACTTTATGACTCTACGAACACAATGTATTTCCTCTACCAAAAAGCATCAGACAGCAAATATTAGAATTTGTCTCCTACAATTATGTGACGTCAGCATGAGTCACAGTTTGTGTTCAAAGAACTGTTCCATTCTCAATTGTTTCACAAACAAAATATTTACGCAAACGACCCCCAAAGGAGAAAAATTTATTAATAAAAGTTTGTTCAGAGCAAGGTCACAGGCTCTTGGATGTTTAAAATGAGTAATTCCCTTGAAATTCCGGTGCTCCAGGAGTATGTGTACCAATAAGGAGGTAACTAATTTTCTTCGCATACTTTAAATCAAGTTGTGTAACGAGACGGAAACCTATGGGCAGGGGATATTCACTTGGCTAACACAGACAGTCCCGATCTCGTAATAAAACTAAAATAAGGAAAATCGAAATAAAATCATGGCCTAACCCTCAACGAGTACACATACTATGGGATTACCGAAATTCCAACCAAATGTTAAAACGAGAATATCGGTCGGAGACCGAAGACTTATCGATCTTAGATCGGTAATTAGTTAATAACTCGCTAATTATACGACATAATTAACCCAAAATCTATAGGCTACTGGTCCGAGGTAAGAAGCATGCACATGCAAAATTTGGAGCAGATTCAACCACGCGTTCGTGAGATATCGCGTTCATCTAACAGACACACACACACACAGACAGACAGACAGACACACAGACAGACATACATACATACAAATACCTATCAATATACTTACCGATCTTAAGATCGATAAGTAATAATTAAATTGAATGTCATACAGAGTTGAATTAAACTGAAATGATAATTTTTCAAAACAATCTTTTCCAAATTATTTTAAAAACTAAGAGTTTTATTAAATTAATAATTGAGTATCAATGGGGCCAACCATGAATCCATCCGCTATGCTTTTGCACCGGTAAATTCATAAGCATATACCCATAATGCAGTGGTTCCCAATATTTTATATCTTGTGGCTCCCTTACTGAAGCTTTTAGCACTCATGATCCCCCTGTTTATCATTCCAATGGTATTCATAGTGTTACTTTGATTGATAGATTCCAAATCCTATTATGTTCAAACAATTCATGCCCAACAAAGTGGAAACACCCTGTGAAATGACCATATCAGGCAATGAAACTAGGAAGGACGGAGAGTTTTCTAGTAAAAGTAAAATCAGTTTTGCGCATAGCACGGTGGCCCTCCTCCAACTGCCTTTGGTGGGCCACGGCCTTCGATTGGGAACCACTAGCTAATACAAGGATGCTGTAGCAAGAGTAAAATGACTATACTAAGCCCTTCACGAGTCTCGCTACACACTAGCACAATTATATATCTGAGGTGACAACAACTTATCCTTTTGCCATACTTTTGTGTTTGTGGACCCGTGTGTATATAATACAAGGATACGGTAGCAAGAGTGAATGCTATTCCAAGTAAATCGTGAATCTCGATGCGCAAATATATTTCTTGCAGGACCAACTACCTATCCTCCTATGCGTATCCGCTGGTGGAGCCATGTGCTTATAATCCAAGAATCTTTTTATTATGGTCTTGTGCTGGAGGTCTGTATGCGTATAATGCAAGGATGATGTAGCAGGAGTAAAGATAATTTCTTGGGAAGTCACACCATGGTCAGACGAAACGTTACAGAAATATACAGGGTGGCCCAAAAGTAGGTATACAGTTTTAAACTATTTTATATGCTTTGAAGCTACTTGCAGTTCACTTTAAGTTACTTGTAAAGTACCACAAAAATTGCTTATTTTTTTAGATAATAAATCTAGTGTGAATCTTACATTAGTTTTCTAGCTGCTTGGAAGGTAATCAAAAATATATAAAATAACTGTATACCTACTTTTGGGTCACCCTGTATATTTCTGTACCGTTCCGTCTGATCATGTATTTGTGTTAGTGTGCGGCAGGACTCTTGGATCCCATAGAATAGTCATCCTTTATGACAGTGGTCCCCAGCCTTTTATATAGCTTGTGGCCCCCTCCCAGGGGCTTTTAGCACTCATGGCCCCTTCTTTGTCATTACATTAATATATAACATTATTGTATCATACGCATACGACTCTATCAGCACATAAGCATAGCAAAAGTATCTGGTCTTACAGAAATATACAGATATATATGTCAGTGTCTTGGGAGACGTTAGAATCCCTCAGACAAGTTATTTTCACTCTTTCTACAGCATTATTACATACACACCCAACAACCCAAAAGCATAGACGGATAAGTCAAGGAGAAATATATTTGTGTAAGTGCGTAGAAAGACACCTTCCATTACAATGTTACAATATTCAATATTATCGAACTCTGAATAGCCTATTCCAGTGGTTCCCAAAATTTTTAGAGTTGGCACCCACTATTTATTACCACAGCTTATGGCGACCCATTTAACTTTAATAAAACATTGATGGAGGAAACGAAAATAAGACCTGGCCTGAAAATAAGACCCAATGTGGATTTTGAAAAGGATTTTAATTAAACTCTATACCCTTAAAATAAATTTAAAATGTGTGGAAGAGGAAAAGTTCAATTACCTGAGGTGAAGATCACACCACTATTCAAGATTGTGTGATGTCACAATCACAATTATGATATTTGTCACATGATTTTTGTATAGGAAATATAAATAAAACCAATGGATGTTGGTTTTTATATAATGTTTGTTAAAAAATCTTGTGATTTTCTACAATGTAATGTTATTTTTGATAAATGAACACAAAAGACCTCTTCCAAAAAAAACATAGCGTTATTCTTCAAACGAAAATAAATCTTAATCCTGTCTAAATTTCGGGGAAATACGGTAAGAAGTGCTGTACAGTGTACAAAACTGCTATGCGTGAAAGAGCCACATGGTCATTCTTTGTGTAGCAAATTTTTATTTCTTTGAGAAGATCATAAAAAGGAAACTTTCACAGATTAGAATTTAAATTCAATTTCTTTTGTTTTTTTTTTGGAAGATTTACGTATTCGAGTCGCCACCGATCCTAATAACCAGTATATTTAATCAAAGCTTTCTACATCTTTTCACGACCCAACAAGATTCCTTAGTTTGGGACTGCTGGCCTATTCCATTCTATTTATTAGGGTGGTCTAAAAAGAACCTGCAACATAGGACCTGCCAGATTAGCACATCAAACATGGACTTACTCTTGCAAGTTGGCGGGGCTTCCTCAGGTAACCATTTTGCATCAGCCATGCATTTCCGAGTCGCTGTACCCGAGATGTCATATCCTGAAAAATAATAGTTTTGTGTATGAGTAAAAATATATTGAGTGAAATCCTATCCAGTTTCTAATCCAGCAGTTCTGAAACAATCATGAACACTGGTCGATTACAGCTTCCTCCACCATCAAGTCAATGCTTCCGAAAACAAAATACCTAACTAATTTAATACCCTACATAGACTGGTAACCGGACGACAAGCCAAGGTTTTCCATATGATTGATAGGCGTCTTATCTCTTTTCTCTCTCCTGGGATAAATATGTAAACACTATAATATCGGGTATTTTTGTTCAAGCTTAATATATCATAGATGTGCAAGCTTATCATGAAAATCTATTTATTAGTGGTAGATAAATTTATAAGTAAATTCAGTTTCAATTCAACCATAAATAAATTTAATACTCAGCAAAATCATCATGTAAATTATGACTCATCAGAAATTCCTGTCTAAAACAATGATGAACACAATCATGTCGGGCTGTAATTTTTTCAAAGAAACTATGACAGGAAGTACGCATCCAGTAACAAGAAGTTGAAAAGGCAAAATCTATCAGAAAAGCAGAATCTGCAGTAAAACCAAATTTCTAATGCCAAATTATGAGAAATTACTTCTTTTAACATTCTGTCATTTTGGACTGGGTGTTAACTCAGTATAAATGTAAATTAGTAAATGCCCATAAACATAATCAACTAACTCCCAACGAGTCCCAAGACACATCAACAGGAATGAGCTCTCAATTACATAAGAGCACAAGACTACTTCACCTTCACAGCTGGCTGGTCATGATCAGTCATCTGTGACTGATGACATCACAGATCATTCTCAGCCATCTGAAAAAATGCTAGTTGCCAGAAATACAATAAAGATACATTTAATGCCAGTGAAGGAGTGAAAAATGAAATGTAGGCCTATTGAAAAAAGATGAATCCTCACCTGTGTTACAATAATAAGTAATAGAATCGCCGAATAAGAAACTCGTTCCTGTGTATGCACCATTAGAAATTGTTTCAGGGGCTCCACAATTCTTTCTTTGGCAATAAAAATTGATAGGCGACCACTCATAATCAGTTTGACAATTGATCATAAAGTTCCCTGCCCCCTCGTAACCTTTAAAAAGAGATTGATTTAGTGACAGAGACCAAGAGTGTAACGAGAATATCGGTCAGAGACCGAAGACATATCGATCGAAAGTTAGGGGATCCCCAAAACAGCGCTCTTACTCCATAGTGACACCTTGTGTCCCATCACTAACGATAACTCGCTAATTATATGACATAATTCGCCCAAAATCAATAGGCTTCTGGTCCGAGATATGATGAATGCACATGCAAAATCTGGAGCAGATTCAATCTCGCTTTCGTGAGATATCGCGTGCATCTAACAGACTTACAGACAGACAAATACCTTAATACCACATACGATTAAAATCGATAAGTAATAAATTATGCAGATATTGCCCGGAAAGATTTCTGGCATTTTATTAAAACATTAGCTCATTATATATCAGTGGCGTCTTATATAAAGCCTTGTTCGAAGTGAAAATCATTTAATATGCTTCAGGCAGCATTTTCTGTCCCTCGTACCCTTTATTAAAAATTAATGGATTTAGTGACACAGATTATAGATCAGACGTGGGCAAAATACGGCTCGCGAGCCAAATACGGCCCGTTGGGTAATTCAATCTGGCCCGCCTGATGTTGCAACAACCAAACATGAATCGAATTTGGATATTTTAGCTAATATTAGCTCATGAATTTGTTGAGATTGCGGTTAAATTTAGTTTTGGCACGAGGCATATTGTTTTCCACTTTTGCTTTTGTAACACTGTGAGTATTGTTCATAAAATGTTACTTTTTACCAGGGGCGGACACTTTCCATAATTTTGGGGGGGCGAACTTGGATCGCCTACCGAAAAACACCGCGCCGTGTATCGCCACATAACAATTCCAGTCGCCGCAATTATGCCACTCGTTAAAAGAGTCGACTTTTTCAACGAAAAAAGATTTTTCACTTGTGCAAAGTAATCAATCAAAGACCGATACAGGCATATTTAAAATGTCTTGATTTATTAATTTAATTGTCTTCAATTTAAATTGTGGTTGCGTCAAGAGCCACTCTAAAACACCACGGCAATCCGCGGACATAAAAATGTGTGGTAAACTGCCCGTTTATGTATTGTTTTGATCCGTATTTTTGCTATTTTGCGAATTCGATAAATTTGAGATGTACTTGTAACACTGGCTCCGCTCAATCGCAATGTTGTCATTCCGATTATTTTTCAAGATAAAACCTTTCGAAAAATCCGTAAATTTTCTGTCAATTCTCACGTACAAAATTTATTTCAGTACAATAAAAATTGATCGAAAATACTTTAATTATCTTATATATCATCACAAATCGAGAAAAAGTCTCGTTTCTCAGCCTTGTTTAATGTTAACCCGAAAATTTTTCGACGTCAATTTAAAAGTAATGGATAAAAAGGCAAATCCGTTCACAATTAACTGTGTTTCGATTTTAGTGACGACCAACCAAACACAATTTGTGCCGTAAGCACACGAAATATTGCGATTATCGATGCCTAGAAAAGCGTTTTCAGACTGTCGCGGCCCTCAACAAAACTTATATTGTTTACAGTTTTATTTTTAGTATTTTATATTTCCGCTTTTCAATCAAAAAATATAGGTCTCCGATTTTACTCCTTCATTTGTCTTTAGAATCTCACCGCCGATGAACTTATAGGAATTCTCGCCGGGTTCATAAGTCCGTGCTAGCACAAAAATAAAATAATTATCATTGTCATCGTGTCACAAATATTTCACAGATTTAGAGAGAATAAACGCCAACAGAAAGGCGGTTACGGCCTAAATATCAGATGAAAACAATCAGCGATTTTAGCAAAAGGGAATTGCACACGTTATTGGCGACTTTTTCAGTTTTCAAAAAAATTCAGAAGGGGGGAGGGGTATCTTTTTTAGATAGTTTCTGTGGCCTGAAAAGTCGAATAAGCGTTTCGACATAGTAAATGCTTTGATCTTTGTCCGCAAATTATGCTGGGCCTTGCACGAAATCCATAACGTGAGAAGATACGTCCATCGGTGAAAATTGTTCATAACAACTTTAAACGAATTTAATGTTTTAGCGATAATAATTAATTGTAATGAAATACAGTTTTCCTCTTTCACTTCTCTCGCAAGTGCCAACATTAACACTATTGAAAGATTTTGACAATGAAAAAACCATATTAAATTGTATAAAAATGAATTAGTTGTGCAAAACCGTGGCACGGCGCAGGAAGTACAGTAGACCTTGAGTCGCTGTATGTAACTTTGCTCAGGAATGAGTTTCTTTACTTCTGAATGAGAGAAAATGAATTTCCTTTCCGCAAATTACCTAAAAACTTTACGCTCTTTGCTCAAATATGAGTTTCCATCTTATATGCTCGTTTTACCGCCCGATCTTGATTAAGGGCCCATTTGAATAGCCGTCCGTGTGAACAAAACATGAAAATAAATAAGAGCCGGTGCTTGAATACCAGCCCGATGTAAAAGCTGATTTTTCAGTGGTAGAGAACAATAAGAAATAAGAAGCGCTTTTGTCACAACGCTGTTGAATTTTAAGCGCTGGTAGATAACACTCACACCTTAGGCGTCCAATTACATAACAGATAGCATTGATTATGCAACACCGTGGTTTTCATACTGGGCGGCGCAACGCCCAAGTGAGTCATTTCAATATTGATAGGGCGTCGCAAAACTTTTCTTCTTTTGCGGATTTGTACCTGCGGTGCGTGGAGAAAGTCAAAATTTTCGTTATTCTCGTTCAAATCATACTTGAGAACTGGAAATGCCATGTAATAATTATTGTAACGATCGATCTTATCTATATGTGACTTGACAAACATCACTGATCATTCAATACTGTTCCAATTATGACATCACACAGGCTGGATCAGATTGAGTCATGCATGCAGTTCATTTCTAATTCAAGCGCCCGTGCTTGAATAAGGGCCGGTTTGAAAAAGGGCCCGGTTAGTGAGTTTGGTTAAAAAAATATGGGCCCGGGCTACAAAACGAGCAAATACAGTACTTGAGTTATACTATACTATACTATACTATACGAGTGCTCATGACATGTCTTCAAGAAAATCGCTAAATAGGGAATAAAAACTCAGAATATGTACCTGTGTTGCAATTGTACGTGACCGTTTGTCCAGGTTGATAGCCAAGAATGTCAGGATCTGTGTCAGCATAGGCGCCATTAACGGTTGGAGGTGGATCACAGCCCCCTGAAAGATAAAATAACATTCTAGTTGAAATGCTTTCCACCTAACTCAGGGTATAAGACAGGTCCCTGGGAAATAGAAATTGCAGGCTACAAATTTCATACCGCCGCACTCTTGGTGTAATATATTGGGCAGTCAATGCCGAAAGGAAATGATTCCTTGGTATAGATAGTCGGCAAGATGGCTTAAGCATAGTGCGAACCACAACATCTTTGGTTTCCAGTCCCAGCCAGGAAAGAGGGAGGTTTCGGGGGTCAAACCTCCCCCTTTCGAAATGTAAAAAAAGGCATCTTTCTGTATCATACATAGCAGTTTTCCGTATCTTGAAACGCTTATTAGACTTTCAGGAGTCAGGAGTCAGGACTAATGGAAACAAACATATTCCGGCAGAAAATTCCTGGCTACGCCCCTGACCAGCCAGACCCTTTATGTCAGGGGTCGGCAACCTACGACGCTCCACTGAATTATAGTAACAAATTATAGCTGTTTTGTTGATTATATTCTTTACGCAAAAGAATTTACGTGTAGACTAAATTATATTATAACGTAACAAGTATATAATTCATATTTACTCGTTTAATGAGCCTATAATTTAATTATAATTTAGACAAATGACAACAAAACGCAGAAAAGTTGATGCTATGTGCAAATGGTTTAATGGCGCAAAAAATATTCAGATGGTCAGTCTTCGCGCGCTGCTTAAAATTTAACTTCTGATCTGTGTGATAAAATGTGATTCATCATTCATCCATTCGATTTTTAACATTCTAAAAATATGTACGGCCCACCAATGACTTGCAACCTTTAATTTTGGCCCACGAGTGACAAAAGGTTGCCGAACCCTGCTTTATGTTTATGGAATTATCATTTTAGAAGCATGGGCTTGAAGATGGTGGAAGCCTTAGCCGACCAGCGGTTATGTGATCCCCCATATTACATTGAAAAGTACAGCAATCCTTTCACACATATTTATCTCCCATGGAACTTATGTTTGATGTATCAGGCTTAGTAGGCTATCAGAAAAACCGATGGCATTGCACGGCTGAATAACCTGCGCAACTAATAGGAAATAAAGATATACTTTAGCTAACATTTCGAATGTTTCATAGTTCGTTGACCAGGACAAAGTCCTTCATTAAATACCGATAGCAATAACTTCATAGATTATGAATAAAGTTATTAGTCTAATTCCTTGACTGTAACTGTACTATCACAAAAAGATTTTTAAAGTAAATTATTGTTGATAGTTTTGTTCTGTCAAACTGAAAATAATAAAATTCAGCAGTTTTCAAAAGTATTCCTGTTATTCCTGTTCATACAATGTAAAGTCATTTAAAATGTCTATTACAGACAAACTTTATCAGGGAAGGAGAAATCAATGCAATTGAACCATTATCTCAAAGGTACAAACACTCTTTGTATAAGGGCATGAATATCTCTGTCCGGCAAACAGAAAATTTTCAAAATTCAGCTTTTCTCGTCCATCACGTCTGACCGCCTATTCTTTATCAAACTTATTCCTGTTATACCTACCCATACAAAACAAAGTCATTTCAAATGTCTATTACAGACAAACTTCATTGGGGCAGGAGAGAACAAATTACATAACAACCTATAGGATAGGATAGGAGGATAGGATTTACATATTCATCCCGGGGGAGAGGAAAGCCGATAAGACGGCTCATCCATATGGCGAACCACGGCCTCTCGGCTTAGCCCGTTGAGCCACACCGCCGCGCGAATGATAAACTTATAAGACGCAATTAAGCTTGAATGTACAAACACTCTTTATATAAGGGCAAGAATATCCATGACCAAGAGTGACCTGGGTCAGAATCTTCTCACATCAAGTATTTTTTGGTTCAATAAAGGAATGACTTCACTATTAGGTGTATACACTCATTATATTATATATGGTGTCCATAAAGTCTTAAAAAATTTAAATTGCAAAAGGAATTTATCGATACTATATATTGTTTAGGCCCTTACAGATGTACTAAATGAAATAAAAATCGCTGGCGCAATCCGTTTGGAATGCATTCGTCCACCAAGAAAAGTTTTCTGAAAATTGTGTATATTATTATTTAACAAACAATTACTGATTACAAAACAACAAACCTGGTCAAGATTTATTGAGAATTGACTTTACAAGAAAACTGAAATTGTAAAGGTTCTTTATGGGCACCCCTGTATAACAATCAAAAACTTAATCAATATGTGATTTTCTCGTCCATCATGACTGACTGCACATTTTATTATCAAACACATTCCAGTACTATCCATACAACGCAAAGTCATCGTTGTTTGCTCAACTGAATCAATAAAAGTTCAAACGACTTTCGGTTTCAACCAGTTTTAAGATCTAAAGCAGTGGTCAGCAAACTTTATGTACCAATGGGCCAAAATAAACAATGAAAGCTGTGGGCAATATAATTTTTGCCTATAAAACATGCATATAACATATGAAGTACCTGGTGCAAACTGATTTTTTTTAGATTTCTAGCAACTGGCATTTCCTCAGATGACTGAGCATAACCAGTAATGTCATCAGTTACAGATGACTGATCGTGTTTCTAGACCGAATTTTTTTGATGATTTTGGGGGGGTGCCTATTTTCATTTTTTCTTGAGTCAACTCATTTTTCGCAATTCTTCTCAAGCATGATTTGTATTAACTTTGAATGTGGGTTGGTCAATTACATAATGTATTCGACACTAAAGGGTTTGCCAATCATGGCTACCACTTATTTAATTTACTTTGTACGGCCAGTTGCACAGCTTTTCGAAAGTCTATACCAGAGATGAACCTTTTTCTATGAATGTGTTAATAATTATATTTTCATCGCGGAACAGAAGAGAGTGGGTCACAAATATTCATTCAATGTTTGTATCTATAAGAAACTTCTGAAACAAATCTTATAAGCTTCTGTTGGTGTTGTTGTAGTTTTGGGCTTTACTTATGCAGCACTTCTATCATGGACTTTTTATGGCACTCGGTTTATGAAATTAGAGTACGAAAACACACACATGAATAACCAAAAAGTTTAGGATGATGCAAACTATTTTACGGTTCCAAAGAGTTTGAAGGGAATTCCACTCTGATAAAGTTATATTTTTTGATCAGCTTTCAACCACATTAAAGCACTTTTACACTGCCCCATTGTTATTTCAGATTTCTAGATTTTTATTTCAAGTCTGAAAGATTTTGTTTTCTTAACAGCATAGTAGGCGAGAAACTAATAAAATGCAAAGTAGCATCTATTTCTCGTATAACTTCTGAAAGTCTGCAGATGCACTTCCGAAAGAGACAAAACATTGCGAGAAATGAACATCAAATGCATTGTTATGTCATAAACAATGTCAGAGCCAATAGATGAATAACGGTACACAGCAGTGCGTACATGCGTCCAAGATTGGGGGTTTTGAAAATGACCATACCGACCCAAAAATTAACAATTTGAACAAGAGCGATCGCAGCCCTGACTGCCCAACTGATGGTACATTATTATAGTTCAGTTTTTGTTGGATTAATTCAAGGTTGGTTTTATCTATTTTCATCACTGATATGTTGGCATTTTTTTCATTTTGTTCGTGCCTTGGCGGGTCACTGCTGTGGTCTTTGGAAAAATACCAATCGACGCCAACTCTTCAATCGTTGAATAAATTTAAAAAAAGGAAAATCAGACATAACGGTTTACAATGATTTCAACCTGAAGCCGTTACATGGATAATATTAAATATCACAAATGTGGTAAATTTTAATAAAACAGATTCTTATTAAAGTTCAACTTATTGGCTCAAATAATATATTATACATTTAAAAACAAAAATATTAGTTGTGAATATGAAAGTATTTTATGAATATACCTTAGTAATCAATGAGCTATTACTCACTAAATATTAAATGATCAGATCGCCAAAGTAAAACCAAATTAGCTGTGTCACAATCTTCAGAAATTGAATTTTTAATTATCTGTCATTACAAAACCAAGGCCATCTTTTGATCTGAGTTTTAAAGCTGTAGCTGTTTTAGTTTTGATTTTAGATAATGCCTTATGTCTCTTTTTTAGGTTTGGTTGTTCGAATTGAAAATAACGAAATGCGATTTTCCCAAAACCTCAAAATGGGAAATGAGCTACCGTAATTTCGTTTTACTGTGGTGAATGTTCGATTGAGCGAGCTGTTTGTTCAATACAGTCTGTAACAAGCTTATATAGGAAGCTAGAAATACGTAATTTGCTTCGAGATTTTTTTTGGACAACACTGCAGTTTTATCTGCCCAGCTTGAATAGGCTACAAAAGAAGAGTTTATAGGCCTCTAGGCATCAATAGATAAAAGCCTCAGTCGGTACGAGCCTAGGACATTGAAACTTTCAACTTGAAAGCACAACCCATTTCTATGGTTTTATTACGGATATTTATAGTCTGTTGTATTCACAATACACGCTAAAATCTTAGCGAAATAATTTTCAATAAATAAAACCTGATCTTTTATCATTGTAGTGTGTCATGTTTACAATAACAGCTCACAATAATAAATCTCAATAAATGTATATAAATATAATTATCTCTGGCTGGTTTATGTCAAAGACCGCCAAAACTATATTATGACTCAAGATTCCAAAAAATGTTTTTCAAATATAAAATATCAGAATTAAATTATTACTAAGTTTCTTACAACGAATATGTCCTATTTCAAAATAATTAAGAATGTGTTATTTCATTTTCAGGTCTCATTTCATAATATACCCAAAATGTGTCCTAATTTCAAGATGTCAATAAATTTATAAAAACTATTTCCTTGTATTCAATAAACAAAACCAATAACCTATTCCATTAATGTGGATTTAGATTAGTAAACTATTGAGTTTTGCCAGTGGGAAATATATCATTTATGGTGATTCAAATATACACCAGAATTTCATGCTCATTTCAAGCTCTGCTCAAGGTCATAAAATTGTAGCAGACAGCTGCATGGCCAACTCAGCAAATAAATTCCCTCATTAAATATTAATAGCTATGGTGGGCCCTTGTACACACAGAGTTTAAAATGAACTCATTTTTTTTTACACTTACACCAAAATCATGTGACAAAACACTCCCTATTAGTAATGGCTATTACTCATAATGTGTAATGAATTGTGGAGGAGTGACTAAATATAGAATGGAATTATTTTTTATATGCTAACAAGGAAATAATAAAAGTGTTAGCCAAAGGCGAATATTAAACTATTCCGAATACATTCTGAAATAGTGAACATAATACTCTAAATATACTGTACACTACTATAAGCCTTACTTAATAAGGTTTTGTTTGTGCTTTGGATTTCATAATCAGTTTTTATTTATTTGTTTTTATCAATTATTTTATCGTCTATTATGCTGATTATGGAGTTGAAATAAACTTATAGCCTACTTTTGTTCAATAGTGGACTTTGTACAGACCATTGTGAATTCATACAAATCATATTTATTATTGAAAAAGATTTTCAATCATTTTGAAGGAATAACTCACTCTTTAAATAGCCTACAATCTAAAACGAAATTTTGTAAAAATGATATTGCATTCTTATTAATTGGGCCATTTAATGTTCAATAATCAAATTGTGCATTGATGGAAATTTGAATCCGCTGATACTGAATTTTTAATAAGATAGACATTGATTTTATCAATTTTCATTATTTACAGTGTATACATGCAAAACTACTTAAATTAACTATTACAAATTTTTGATTTTAGTTCAATTCGCAAGAATAATATCATTGAGTGATTTAAAAACATTGCATACGCTTAACTGATTCTCCCATCCATATGCGAAACTGTGAGTGACTCGGCCGTGTGGCACATTGTGCTAAGCGTTTGGAATACGCTTGCCACCGCACCTCTTCATAGTCATACATCCAGTCCATACATCTGGAAACAAATAACTGACTAACTAACCCAGGGGCGCAGCCAGGGGGGTTTTTCGGGGTCGAAATAACAATATACAATCGGACAGTTTACCACACATTTTTATGTCCGCGGGATTCGGTGTTGTTTTAGATAGAGCGGCTCTTGTTTTGTCGACGCAACCGCAGGTTAAATTGAAGACAATTAAATTAATAAAGCAGGACATTTCAAATATGCCCTTATCGGTCATGGGTTGATTTTGCACAACAGAAAAATCATTTTTCGTTGAAAAAGTCGGCGCTTTTAACAAGTGGCGCAATCGCGGCGGTGAATTTGTATTTTTGATTTACTAGTATGCTTACTAGTATCTATTTTCATTGTTATGAAGTAAAATTGTACTAAACGTGATTTTATATCAGATATCGAGATTTTACTAAAGGCGATAACGAGGTCATAAGATTGCAAAAATATGTATCAAAATTAAATACATCAGGCAGCTTGTCTCATATTTTTATGTCCACAGATCGCTGTGATATTTTACTGCAGTAATGTTTCTATTTTCACGTAAGATTAAATTAATAAATTTTAGAATCTCGTAATTGGCACTAATTTAATATTTTAGGCAACAGGAAATTCATAATACGCTAAAAAGGTCGCTCTATTAACGAGCGCGTGTTCATGGTGACTGTTACAGACGGCCCTGGAAATTTTCGATTTTGAACCCCTCCCTTTTGAAAATCCTGGCTGCGCGCCTGAACTGACCCCATACCTGACGTAGACTGGTAACCAGACAAGAAGCTGGGGTTTGCTATATATGATTAAGTTAGCCAGTCTCATCAGTTTTCTCACCTAGTGGTGTCATTATTGCAAGATAGGATACTACATTGAATAGTTCAAAACTTCAAACGTATTAAACTCCCAGAAATTTTATTGTTTTGCTTTTCCTCTGACTTAAGTCACACTTCCTGAAACAAGCATTCTCTAGTCACAGTTGAATTACCATATGTTTGACTGAGGAAGTCTAGGCGCCCAGAAGTGTATGTACCAATATGGAGGTAACTAATTTTGTTCACCTACTTTAGTTTACATCAAGTTGTGTAAAGGGACTGAAACCTATGAGCAGGGGATATTCACTTGGCTAACACAGACAGTCCCCGAGCTCGTAATAGATTTAAAATAGGGTAAGGAAAATTGGAAAAAAATTATGGCCTAACCCTAACCTGGTACACATATTACGGGAGTACCCAGACTTTGGTACAAGCTGGATCATTCTAAACTCCCCCATGGTACAAAAAAGAATTACACATACGACAAACACATAAAACCCCAAAACAGTAATTCAAAAGTTGCCAAAACTTTAATGCGGTGTAAACATACAACGAATGTTATAGAATAAAACCACATAATGTATCCGACTTATTCTTGTTATGATTTCGCTAAAATTGAACTGTTAAATAGACTCAAGGTATGGTCATTGACACTTTCGCTACAGTGTTCATATTATTATAAAAAAAAAAATTTATGACGCTTGAAATTTTTAATGACAGCTTTGTGATATTATCTAAGATTTCTTTCGGTGGTGAAAACTAGCAATTACAAAAAATGAGAATTGAGAAATACCGGACTCAAGGATAAGAGCTTATAGCCAACAGATTACAACAACTAAAAATTCTTTGGAGAAACAAGTTCTAGAAACTTGAAGTATCGTATATCCTTGTAAATAAGCCAAATTTAAAACTCAAAAAGATGTTGCCAAGGTGTCGGCTTATACACGCATAACTCTGATCGCACTTAAACAAAATGACATTATGCTAACTTAATTCCAACAGCTACAACTAATACGATGTGTTACGATTTGTAGGGTCGGCTTCTATGCGAGTTTTTATAAATTCTTCATTTTATTGATGGTCAGCTTGTATGCGAGAATGTGCGATAGTCAAATTTACACAAAAAATACTCACTTGTGCAATTAGTTTGAACGTGGCTCCATTTCCTTGTAGATCTACAAATTCTTTTTTCTATCCCTACTCTGTAATATCCACCATTGCAAGTATGCTTGGCCTTAGCGCCATATTTGCGGCCATCTGGCATCGATATGACTCCATTAGCCAAGGTGCCGGTTAAGTCAGGACATTCAGCATCTGAACAAATTACAATTTCTTATTAAATAATTTTAAGGGCAGGGCAAAATATTTAAAAAAGGGAATAGTGAATCAAATATTGAAATATGGGCGCTCCAGAAGTATGTGTACCAATATGGAGGTAACTAATTTGTTCGCTTACTTTACATCAAGTTGTGTAAAGAGACTGAAACATATGGGTATAAAATATTGGACAAACTATATGTGAATAAACACAGCGCCGAGATTTTTTGTTTGTACAGATTGTTGTTGTCAGCATTTGCATTATCTCTAAGTTGTTGGCAGCCAATAAGAACACAAAATTTACGCATTGGTAGGTGTAAGTTCTGCAGTGGTGGTCATCTATTCTCTAATTTATTGCCAATTTCAGACATAACAATATGCTACACATGATAACAATATGGTTCACATAAATTAATATACAAATATACTGGTAGGTAGTAGAATACTCTAGGCTTATATATTAGAATTTGTAAAGGCATAATGGATATTTGATTGATACAAAATTATCCGAATACAAGTAGTACTTTTGTGAATAGAGTTGACTATTATTGTAATATCATGGTACCAATGACAGAAAGCGTCAGAGAACTCCTTCATATGGTCAATTGTACAAAGTGTACAATTTCAATAAATTTACTGTGTCATAAGTTGCTATAGTTTTTTTTTCGATAGCTATAAACTATCAATTATTTTGTGTACAGAAACTGAGGGTTTGTGGCTTTAGTTTGATATTTCTATTGAAGCTTATTCCCTATTTTACTGGGTTTTAATAAACTAAAACAAAATGTGTCAGGTCTGATTTTAGAATGTAATCGGAATTCCAGATTCAGAAATATTATTTTAGAAAGTATTCGGAATAGTTTAGTATTCGGAAATGGCCATTCCTGGTTCTGCTATATCAGATCAGAGTCATATTTATTATTATTAACATAGTTATTAACTAGTATACCTACCGGGGTTATAACATGACAATCCACACTTATCATCACACAGGCAAGACTTGTTGCCTGTACAATCCGCATTTATTAAACATTCTTTTCTGCACTCTCTGGTCGGATCTTCTTCTATAGCAGCGGCCTCATCCCTTGCTTGACAATCTTGTGAAGTTGTCAGGCAAACAGCTTTGAATAAAAGGAATAGTGAAATTTACTGAAGTACACACGATGGCCTAGTGGGTAAAGAATTGGACTTAAATGTGACATACTGGCATCGTAGGTTAAACATCTTGGGTTTAAACCCCATGTCCACCACAATCACAGTCTAACACGGGGCTACTCAACTGGGGGCCGCGGTCCGAATCTGGACCTTTCGATTATCAAATTTGGACCGCAGCTGCTTCTTGATTTTGAAATCATCTTTTTTTAAATATTTTACAGTTGTAATGCAAAGCATTTTTCGCTAAACCACTGAATAATATTTGAGACGCAATAGCATTATATGTCTCACCGAAAATCGACTTACTTGATTAGCTCCCTAGCATTTCAGCAAGATGTCAATGGTGATGGCGTAAAAACTAAAGTTTAGCGGTCGGACACACTGTTTTACAGATTTTTAGACATCATGGGGAATAATGGGCATGCCATTCATCAGTTTTAGGTTGTATTTTCAAAATTTAAAAATAGATATACCTCAATAGAAGTACCTCAAATTTGCAAAATCTCTAACAGTTGTACAGTATGCTCGGACTACCTAGAACCCAGAGTAAAATACTTGGCAAAAACCCCCAAAAAATATACTTTCTTTCCCCAACAACGGACAAATACATTTGTTATTGCACGTGAGGTCGACTTATGAATATGGACATCATGGTATATCTTGATGTTGCTTAGGAAGAAAACTCGCCTCCCTGCAACCAATAGAATATTCCACTTTTATTCAGCAAAGTGAGCGGTCAGCTAGCTTGACAACTAAAGCCTTGTCATACCTTTACCAATGCGTGATAATGGGCATCGTTCTTCTATTTTGTTGTTAAACGATGCATTTGAAGTTTTGTTCGCATAGATAAAATATAATTTTTAGAATGACACACATTTAGAATGGACAGCGGCAATTTTCAATTTTTGTGTATGAACCTTTGGTAAAAATAGTTGAGTAGCCCTGGCCTAACAAATTACATAGTATACACTAAACCAAAAAAAAGTCTGGACCTTTAGGGAAATAATTACCTTCTAACCTCCTATATAGGTCGCGGTGGTCTGATGATAAAAGTGTTAGAACTTATTAACTATGCTAGTATATCAGGTTGCAGAACGCTAGACCGAAAAGAAACGCAGTTAATTCATTTGATTTGTTAACGGAGAGACATTATTCTCCAGCCAATATGAAAAAAACCATTCGAGCCAGAACGTCCCTGGTACTGGTATCTCTCATACAGGGAAAGGGAATAAAAATTATGTATATTTGTTCCACCAAAAGATTTTCTGGCATGAATTGGAAATAAATCAGCATCAAGGAGATTGCCGACAAAACAGATGCACTAAATGCCGTACTAAGAACGAATATAAATGAATTAGCAACAAAATAAAGAACCAGGTGAGGCAAAATATAAAAAGGGTGAGGCAGAAACATCACAAAAAGGTTTATGCCTAAGAAAATACTGAGACAATAAATTTGCTTTGAAGCTTTGGTGAGGCATGATTTTCACCTTTTCACCTTTGGTGAGGCAAGGATTTTAACAGCCCTATTTTTTTTGAAGCACTTTGATTCTACGCTAAATTGATTTTTCAAAGTAGTTATATGACGTTGAGATCTCATACTACACACATACTCTGGACTATTCTAGGTGTCTCCCCAGGACAATTCCAAAAATTTTGCATGTTGTGAGATGCAATATATTTTTACATTGCCAGCAATATGTTTTGTGTTATTGTCAAATGAGTTGCTATAAATTGGTTGAAAAAAACTGCATAAAAATTCCACACAAGACTTACCTAGTAAGTACATAGTAAATATAATGCCAACAATGTGCATATTGTATTTGAAACTACAGGATGTGATACTAGCAACTACAAAAGTACAAAATCAAGTAAATACACCTGTGCAAGATATGACACCATCAGAAGGACCTACAGACTATGACTCTCAAAAAATGCTGTTATACTGCTACAAGCATTTCATAACGACTGTTCTAAACACTGCAGTCCACTTTCACATCACATATTCTGCACGTAACAGCATAGAGATGGCTCATCCAAAACTGAAAATTACAGTTCCTGGATTTTTGTGACTCTACGAGCCATGTCTGCATTTTCAAAAGTGCGACTCTGGGGGACAAATTTGAAATGCCAGTTAACATTAACCAATGAGCAAAGTTTATTAGTTTGCCTGACACACAAAGAAGGTGAACGGAGGATTCCATTTCAATATTTTTCTTTGTAAAATACTGAAGTCTACATTGCTAAAACTGAAACACTTTTTTGTGACCCTACAGGACAATTTTCAATGATACTATTCAAAACAAGGAAATATGACACAATAAGTGATGGAAATTGCCTACACTGCGACGTGACTGACAAGTCCAATGCATCTATTTAAAATTAAATGAGTGTATCCAACAATCAGACACTTCATGTTATGAGTCATTACAAAACATGCCAGTTACATTAAAATTTCCACACTTCAGTCCACTTTGTGCAAATCACTTAAAGATGGGTGAAATTTAACCTTTTTGATAAAATAAATGCAAATCTAACATAGGCGTAGCCAGGGGGGGGGCCAGAGGGGCCATGGCCCCCCCCCCAAAATTTTCAAGAATTCCATTCCTAATCCACCAGTTTTGTGGCATCTTGTCTCGTCACGCTTGCTGATTGTCATTGTTACGTCAAAAGACTTGACCGTTCGCTCTTATGAGCAGTATGGGAAAGACTGTTTCGCAAGCGGTCAGTTACTCGGTCTTGATTTGTTCTCGCCGGATTTTTATTCGAAATGCTTGGATTTTGATGACCAAATTACTTTGATGGCTAAATTTAAACAGGCGAAATTCGATAGTTTTTTTCAGCGAAATAAAGACTCGCTTTCCTCAAATACATCAATAAGCGTTTCTCAGGCTGTGGATGCACCGGTTACGTCAGTTACGTCTATCACTTCTATTCCCGAAGATGAACTAATAATCAACGAAGGGAAAACAAACGATCTTAGATTTATTTTTAAGAAACATACACAGCTTACCGATGCGGAGAGATACAGGCTTCTAACTTCGGATGGTCCGAAAAACGTGACGATTCTGGATACTGTTAGACAAAGTCGTCGTAAATTTCTCAAAAAATGGATTGACGATAACAGATTTTGCAGTTGGTTAGTTTACACCCAACTCTCTGATGGGGGTGGTTTGTGTGAGATATGCATAGTCATGCAAGCACGTTTGAAGCATGGAACACTCAGGGACACTGCCTTTGTTACAAGACCATGCATTGACTACAAAAAATTTATGGAAAAGGCTGTAGCACACCGAGACACAAATTACCACCGAGAATCAAATATAGCTGCGAAAAATTTTGTCAAAAGCATGGAAACATACCCTTGCGCGGACATTCCGGGAATAGTGGAAATTTTGTGAACCTTCTTCTATTTCGTATCGATGCAGGGCATCGTTTTGAGGTATGTGAAAGGTGGTGAAGTGTGCGAGCGCTTCACAGGATTAGTGGAAATGGATTCTGTTTCTGCCGAATCAATTTCCTCAAATATTTTGACCCACCTCTCTGGTATAGGAGTGGATTTGCAAAAACTTGTGGGGCAAGGCTATGATGGTGCAACGACAATGGCAGGTCACGTCAGCAGGTGTGCAAAAACGCATTCGTGATAAATACCCGCGCGCAATATTTGTGCACTGCGCTTCTCATTGTTTTGAATTTGGTCATAAATGACCAAAGTAAGAGTTGCAATCATCAGAAGCACCTGTGATATGATTCGTGAGACTATTCGTTTTTTCAGGGAGAGCCCTAAAAGGCGCGCGGGTTTAGGAATTAACATCCCTTTGTTCTGCCCCACCAGATGGTCTGAGAAGTACAAGAGCATCCGAATCTTCAAATACAACTTCAAACGAGTACTTGAGGCTCTTGATTCTTCGGGCGAGAGATGCTAACAGTGAGACGCGGGCGAAGGCTTTTTCTCTGAATCTGCTCTAGAAAAGTCGTCGGTTATCTACGCCGTATGTTTGATTGGTCGATATTCGGCACTAATGGAGCCACTAGCACGCACTTCAGGCGGTCGGAGTCAGTGTGCCGTCAGTAAAGAACCTCACATCCTCTCTTCAGAGCGTTCTAGCATTGAATATTTACAAAGAAGCTTGTGAAATAGCTGGCTTGCAAGAGTTGACAATACCCAGAGTATTCGAAGTACAAGTTTATCACGACCATGTCTGTGCTGATTCAGCATCCCAGTATTTTAAACGTTCCGTATATCTCCCATACGTCGACGGCTTGAGCTGCTCTATTCGGGAACGCTTCATTGACAACCCATCCATTTTTTCATTGCTATCAATTCTTCCACCGAACAAACCAGTTCACGTGGATGAGGTAGAGCGTCTGTATTTATTGGATAACCTCCAGAATGAAGTGAGACTGTGGAGAACTTCTCTAAGTTCCGACGTTAACGACGAATGTTTGGAGGGGCTTCTTCTGAGCGCTCGAGATTATCCAAGCGTGTACACCGCAATACAGATCGTTATGACGCTACCAGCAACCACCGTTGAGGCTGAGCGATCTTTCTCCTGCATGAAACGGGTAAAGACATGGCTACGCTCATCAATGACGTCCAATCGCCTTTCTGATTTGAGTGTGCTTCACTGTCACCGTGAAATGGTCACCGAAGAGAAAATTAATCGAGTTGTGTCGGGCATAGTTGGCGGGAAGCGAAGGATGGACTTTTAATCGCGGCGATGTATTTTACTTATTCAAATTGCGTTATTAATATTTGTTTCAAATAAAAAATTGTTTATTACTGGATTTTGTATTCACAAAAATCCAGCTGAGTAATTGAATCAGTTTGCTTGTTGACCTGCTGTTGTTGTTTTGCGCTTGAAGAACGGGTGTTTTAAACCCAATATAATTTCTATAATTTTCAAATTTGGCCCCCCCAAAATTTTGGGCTGGCTACGCCACTGCAATCTAATGACATTTAAGAATCCTTCTCCATAAAAAAACGCAAAACAATTATTAATGTTCAATAATTCAATCCCACAGGTGCTTGGAATGACCCTTAAAACTGTCATAAATTGAGGTTATATTATAAAACATAACACTCACCACATATCAGTATAACTACAGCTACAATCTTCTTATTGTGCAGCATCTTACTAATTCTACAAATGAACCATCACAAATAATTCCAAATTTCCTTGATAAATCCAGACAAGTCAATAAATTCTCTTGAATGAAAAAACTGAGGTTGCAAAGATTTTGACTCCCGTTTTTATAGTATATTATGCTAATATACTGTAATGTTATATAAATATATTCACCTGATAAAAAAGAAAAGAAGCAGTCTGGAAGCGTGTTTTGATACAGTGATACATCTGTACATAGGCATAGGTATTTTGAACCAAAGTTACCCCAGCCCACACTCGCTCAGCCCACACTCAGCCTGACGTCAAGGGGTTAACCAACTATTTTACCACTTTATAAACGTTAATACATAAAAACTTGGTGGCTATGACAATATAGAGACCATATTGGATATACACAGCGCAAATGCAATACCAAGCACGGACCAGTTACCCCTAGTATGGCCTGTCAAAAACGAGTGTGGGCTAGCGTCTCACGAGTGTCAGAGTGTGGGCTAGCGTCACACGAGTGTGGGCTGGCATCCTACGAGTGTGGGCTAGCGTCACACGAGTGTGGGCTGGCGTTCTGACAGTGTTATACGGTAAGTTAAGGCATCCTAAACGCTCACAGATTACTAAATTACATATATCCACGTTTACCTCAGCACCAGAACCTCTCAGAGTCCGGCAATTGGTAGCACAAAATGGCCACAAATGCCGGGAAAATGATTCAAAATCAACTGAACAATAATATCTCTAACCAGTGTTACCAGATATGACGGTAAACAAGCCTGAATTGACCGTCGAAACTAAAAATAAGAAAATTGAAATCTAAGCTAAGTGTCTGTTCTTTTTATGAAAAAAATGTAGTTATGAATAAACCATAATTGATTTGCACAAATACATCTTGTAAAATAAACATGATGAAAACATTTCACCAGCAGGTACACATTGTCTCGAAGGCTTTTGATGTCAAAATTCAACAGTTCATCGAAAAGAAATCAACGAAATGTTTACCACGGAATTAAATTATCATAATATACAGTATATGATCTTACAAATTTCAAAAAATTTTACCGTAGAGAAAGACTTTAAATTTAAAATCAAAATTAGCACACTCGACGTTATCAATATTTCGCGGTAATGGTGTTCACGTCAAATTTCAATTGTAAATTGAAAATGATCCTATGGTTTGTTGCTCAAAAAATTGAATAGTCATATTACATAGTATTTCATCTAAAATTTATTAAAAAATGAAAAAATTTTACCGTCGGGAAAGACTTTAAAATTAAAGTCAAAATTAGCACACTCAACCGTTTTCAATATTTCGCGGTAATGGTGTTCCAAGTCAAATTTTAATTGTAAATTGAAATGATCTATGTTTGTTCCTCAAAAAATTGAATAGTCATATTACATAGTATTTCATCTAAAAATATTGAAAAATAAAAAATTCTACGTCGGGAAAGACTTTAAAATTAAAGTCAAAATTAGCACACTCGACCGTTATCAATATTTCGCGGTAATGGTGTTCCACGTCAAATTTTAATTGTAAATTGAAAATGATCCTATGGTTTGTTTCTCGAAAAATTTAGAAGTCATATTGCACAGTATTTCATCTAAAATATATCAAAAAATAAAAAAATTTTACCGTCGGGAAAGACTTTAAAATTAAAGTCAAAATTAGCACACTCGACCGTTATCAATATTTCACGGTAATAGTGTTCTACGTCAAATTTCAATTGTAAATTGAAAATGATCCTATGGTTTGTTCCTTAAAAAATTGAATAGTCACATTACATACTAATTAATATAGAAAACATTAAAAAATAAAAAAATTCTACCGTCGGGAAAGACTTAAAATTAAAGTCAAAAATGAGCACACTCAACCGTTTTCAATATTTCGCGTAATAATGATTTCCACGTCAAATTTTAACTGTAAATTGAAAATGATCCTATGGTTTGTTTCTCAAAAAATTTAAGAGTCATATTACATAGTATTTCATCTAAAAAACATCAGAAAATAAAAAAATTTTACCGTCGGGAAAGACTTCAAAATCAAAGTCAAAATTAGCACACTCGACCGTTATCAATATTTCACGGTAATGGTGTTCTACGTCAAATTTCAATTGTAAATGATCCTATGGTTTGTTCCTCAAAAAATTGAATAGTCATATTACATAATACTTCATCTAAAAAATATTATAAAATAAAAAAATTCTACCGTCAAAAAAAATTTTAAAATTAAAGTCAAAATTAGCGCACTCAACCGTTATCAATATTTCGCGGTAATGGTGTTCCACGTCAAATTTTAATTGTAAATTGATCCTATGGTTTGTTCCTCAAAAAATTGAATAAACACCATTACCGCGAAATATTGATAACGGTCGAGTGTGCTAATTTTGATTTTAAATTTGAAGTCTTTCTCTACGGTAAAATTTTTTGAAATTTGTAAGATCATATACTGTGTATTATGATAATTTAATTCCGTGGTAAACATTTCGTTGATTTCTTTTCGATGAACTGTTGAATTTTGACATCTAAAGCCTTCGAGACAATGTGTATCTGCTGGTGAAATGTTTTCATCATGTTTATTCTTTATTGTACAAGATGTATTTGTGCAAATCAATTATGGTTTATTCATAACTACATTTTTCTTCATAAAAAGAACAGACACTTAGCTTAGATTTCAATTTTCTTATTTTTGAGTTTCGACGGTCAATTCAGGCTTGTTTACCGTCATATCTGGTAACACTGGTTAGAGATATTATTGTTCAGTTGATTTTGAATCATTTTCCCGGCATTTGTGGCCATTTTGTGCTATCAATTGCCGGACTCTGAGAGGTTCTGGTGCTGAGGTAAACGTGGATATATGTAATTTAGTAATCTATGAGCGTTTAGGATGCCTTAACTTACCGTATAACACTGTCAGAACGCCAGCCCACACTCGTGTGACGCTAGCCCACACTCGTGAGACGCTAGCCCACACTCGTTTTTGACAGGCCATACTAGGGGTAACTGGTCCGTGCTTGGTATTGCATTTGCGCTGTGTATATCCAATATGGTCTCTATTTTGTCATAGCCACCAATTATTTATGTATTAACGTTTATAAAGTGGTAAAATAGTTGGTTAACCCCTTGACGTCAGACTGAGTGTGGGCTGAGCGAGTGTGGGCTGGGGTAACTTTGGTCCTACAGACCTAGTTAAAATGGAAATTGCAGTCAAGCGATACCGTATTCGTATATTTACAACTTTAGGAACATCTTATGAATTTTAGTGTTTTGATAAGTTTTTTCTACCAAGGAAATTTTTTCATAGCATGTTCCAATATGAACCATCAGACTAGACGATGTTAACATAAAAATATTGAAAGTGCTGACACTGCATGTACAGGCATAAAACTTCTTGACTTCAGTTTCTTTTGGACAGCACATGAGCATCACTTGGGAAGAATTAGTCTGTCTGTAGGTACAGAGTACATTGATTCTGTCAAATAAAAATATTGCTACCGGTATTGGAGCCTTGTACTAGACTCGTTACGGTAACGATTGCCTACCTGCACTTGTCGTGAACTGAAAACCGGAGAGGCAGTACCTTTTTTTTTTTTTTTTTTGTGCCAAATAAATTTCAATGCCAAACGGAATTTTCGTATTAATATTTTGGTATCAAATCATTTTAATATAAATATATAAATAGATATTTTTTTGTCTCCATGTTTTTGTTTATCGTTTTTTAATTTAATCCCATTCCCCCCAATACAAAATGTACCGGTAGCGGTAGGTTGGTTCGGCAGACAGTCCTCGAACCCGAACTAAATATTCTCAGCTCAACCGGAAAGCTTGAGGAAAATCGGAATAAAATTATGGCCTAACACCGCCTAACCCTAACCTGGTACTGAAATTACCGCGACGTACCTATATTTTTATATAAATATAAACTTTTATTTTAAAATTCATTGCGATTTATTTATTTATAAATAGATTATAGACCTTTCCCCGACCTTTGACCCCCGAAAAAATTTCGGGGCTATTTTTGAGAGTGCTTTTGCGAGTTGGCGCCTGTAAAATGGGGTATGTGTTTCAAACCATCATTATGATCTATCGCATACAACAATCTGATTTTTAAAAATACCGGTAAAGAATTTTAGCCTAGTCCATCACAGCTATTTCTACACCAATTTTCAATTACTGCAATTAAATTAAAACTCCTAGGAAGACAGAGTGATCATTGAATTATCTGATTTAAATTCAAGTTTCCGAAACACAACTGAAAACTAACGAATAGAGTTCAAAAACGTGAAAACGAGGTAATGTTCACGACCACGCTTGAAAATCTGTCTGAGCGCGAAAAGTTTCTGAGCGGATGCGGAAAGGGAGCATTATTACGTCCCTTTTTGCATCTTGCTGATTGGCCAATGTCACGAAGTAAACAAGGAAGTCGATGCTCGGGGCGAGGCCCATACGTCAGCAGGGTCAAATGTCGTGGCTGTTTTAGGCGTTGCTAGATTTCAAGACATAAATCACCACATTCTCCCCAGCTGATAAAAGCAAGACAATAAAAGTATAATATTAACTCAAGTATGGAAACGTTAACTGAAATTAATGAATTCAAAAGTCACCCAATTACGAGGTCCAGTCTCCATAACAATCAGGCGCCATTTTGAAACGACTCGACCGACGAATAGGCATCTCTTCCTTCTTAATTGGAGTAGAAGTTTTATCTGCTACCTCAACTAAGTCATCAGAAGGGATTGTGTCATTGTTCTTCGAATCGGGATTCTCAAAACTAAATGGCACATCCTTAGGAGTTGATTCCGATATGGGTTTAGTCTTTTCAAATTCCAATTGTTTGTAGTCAGATTGTACAGTTTCAGGGAATCGCGCCAGATCATTCGTTGAAACCGTAGATTCTTGACCATCGGGATAACGGATTAACGAGTACTTGGTGTTAGCTTCCAGAAGCTCAACTTCTTCACAAATCGGGTCGCTTTTCGCTCGTACAAACTTGCGTAGAAGTACCTCACCGCCATTCAATAGCCAGTCTGGTACGGAGTTTCCAAGCATAGATCGTCTTTCAAAATTGAACATGCGATTATGTGGCGTAGTACCAGTGGAGGTGCAAAGAAGTGATCTTGTCGCATGTAGAGCGTCTGGCAGAACTTCCTCCCAAGCACTCTCGGGCAGAT